CAGGGCCCCTGTGAGCATGGTCTGTACGTTCTTCCTGGCACAAGTTCGTCTGCCTACCTAGTTTCAGAAAGCATTCCTGTGGCTCCGGTGGCTCTTTCGGCTGATGGCCACAGTCTGTTGTGGCACAGTCGTCTGGGTCACCCGTCTACTCAAATAATAAATTCTTTAATGTCTCAATTAGGTTTTTCTTCCATTCATGTAAACAATTGTGACTCCTGTTCAATTGCTAAATCTCATAAATTACCTTTTACTTTATCTGAGAAGTGTACAACTGCACCTTTTCAACTTATTCATTCTGACCTATGGGGTCCTACTGCTGTTCCTTAATTTGCTGATTTTCGCTATTATATTTGTTTTGTGGATGATTTTACAAAATACACTTGGTTGTACCCACTAAAACACAAATCACAGGCATACACCACTTTTGTCACTTTTGAAAAAATGGTCAAAACACAATTCAATTCTCATGTTAAACTTTTTCGAAGTGACAATGGAAAGGAATATGTAAATAACATCTTTGGCCATTTTCTACAATACCTGGGAGTTATACATCAAACCTCCTGTCCATACACTCCCGAACAGAATGGGGTGGCTGAGCGTAAGCATCGCCATCTCATTGAAACGGTGGTTACTCTTCTACATCAATCTCATCTCCCTGTCTCCTTTTGGGTAGAAGCTCTAGCCACCGCAAACTACCTCATTAACAGAATGCCCAGTCACATCCTCTCCAACAAATCACCCTATCAACTCCTTTACCAAGAACTTCCCAATTATACCAACCTCCGCGTCTTTGGGTGTCTTGCCTACCCTTGGCTACGCCCTCATATTACTCAGAAATTACAACCCCGATCCCGTCCTTGTATTTTTTTGGGCTATCATCCTACCTCCAAGGTTTATCGCTGTCTTGACCCACAAACTCATAAAGTCTACATATCTCGTTATGTCAAATTTGTCAAAAATGAGTTTCCCTACGAGTCTATTTCCTCCTCCACAAATACATCATCCATTGGCGTCCTTCCCTTTTTTCCAACATACTCACAGGGTCCCTCACCACCTTCCCCTACACCTCCACCCACTACCCAACCACCCCTCATCACCCCTTCGACCGTCACCCACAATACACCCGCAACCACCACCCACACTCACAACCAACGCGAACCACCCCATACCCACAACATCTCCAGCTCGATCCGTTTTGGGTCTTTCCCGGCCACCCCCGAATCACCACCGCCCGTGCCACCCCCAATACTCATCCCATATTAACCTGTGGCAAAGACGGTATCTTTAAACCCAAAACCTTTCAGGCTACCATACTACTAAATACACCCCTTCCCAATAGTGAACCAACAACCTACTCTGTTGCCTCAAAAAATGCTTATTAGCGTCATGCTATAGATGACGAGTTTAAGGCTTTGACTGATCAGAAAACTTGGGTTCTTGTACCTAAGCCCCATGGGCGGCACCCAGTGGGCTGTAAATGGGTGTACAAAATTAAACACAATGCAGATGACAGTATTTCCAGGTACAAGGCTTGTTTGGTTGCTAACGGATACAATCAGGAGTATGGGCTTGATTACTCCGAGACATTCAGTCCTGTTATTCGGCAGGAAACCATTCGCCTGGTACTGTCACTCGCCGTGCAACAATTGGCTCATCAATCAGTTGGATGTTTCCAATGCTTTTCTTCATGGAATGCTTGATGAAACTATCTACATGACGCAACCACCGGGTTATGTTGATCCCTGCTTCCCTCAACATGTTTGCAAACTCCAGAAGTCTCTGTATGGGCTCAAGCAAGCCCCCCGTTCTTGGTACACACGTCTGAAAACGTTCCTCCAGGGACTCGGCTTCACATGTTGCGTACACGACACGAGTCTGTTTACTCGACATTCAGCACACTATACAGTCATTCTTCTTGTCTATGTAGATGATATCATTATTACAGGCTCTACTGCAGCTCTCATTCATGATGTCACTCGAGCTATGCATACTACCTTCAAAATGAAGGACCTTGGCCCTTACCTGGGAATGGAGGTTTCTCGGACAGGCAGCGGCTTGTTTCTTCATCAGTCAAAATATGCTCGAGATCTATTGCAGAAAGCTGGACTGGAGAAATGCACCAGTCAACCAACACCGATGGCAGTCTCTTCGTCTACGAATGGAGCCGACACCCCCTTTGTCGATATCACCCACTTCCGCAACCTCATTGGGGATCTACAGTATCTGGCATTACCCGTCCTGACATCCAGTTTGCTGTCAACCGAGTTGCTCAGCGCTTGCATCAACCAAGTGAACATGATTACCATTATCTAAAACGCATTCTCAGGTACATTTTTGGCACTCTTGGTCGTGGTTTACTCATTCGACCCGGGGACTTGGAGGTTCGGGGGTTCTCAGATTCAAATTGGGCGAATGATAAAAATGATAGAAAATCTACATCGGGGTTTCTCATTTTTTTGGGGCCGAACCTGATCTCCTGGTGTACAAAAAAACAACCCAAGGTCTCTCGGTCCTCGACTGAAGCTGAATACTGCGCCCTTGCTCTTCTCGCTGCTGAGACCATGTGGGTCACATATATTCTTCGCGAACTCCGCGCCACTCACACTGTTCCTGCTCTCTATTGTGACAACAAATCAACCATCTGTGTGGCCAAGAATTCCGTCCTACACACCAGAATGAAGCATGTTGATATCGATTGTCTCTTTGTTCGCGATAAAGTTCAGGTCGGCACCATGACTGTGCAGTATGTACCCACTGAAGTACAACCGGTTGATATTCTCACCAAGCCTCTCCCGAGCCGACAACACAATTACCTCAGTTCCAAGCTTCCGCTCAGCTCAGCTTGAGGGGGGATAATAACAGATAGTATTAAATAAATAGTATTAAATAATATTAGTATTTACTGTGTACTAATCCTAGTCCTATTAGGATTAGTACTCCTTAATCCTAGTCCTATTAGGATTATGACTCCTTCCTATATCTCCTATATATATCTCCCATGTATTCCCTTATTAGGTTAACACTTCAATACGATCAATATTCCTTCAGGTATAACTTGAAAAAATAAATACAAAGGCATGACTTGATTTTTGCATGATCCATTAGTTTTGACAAATCCTAACAGAACTATGAAAATTGTTAACTTTAAAATACTTAAAGGATGTTATCTACCAAAAACATAATATTTTAAGGATATAATTTAAGTTTAGACATATTATTTTGAGAATGATTTTTGACCTGTGGAGAAGAAAGAGAAAAGGGAAGTTGAAGAAAAAAATAAAAAAATAAAAAGTTTATTTTTAGTAGGCATTTGGACATTTAATTTCATATAGCGAATGAAATCATGAGACGAAATTACCGTTTGGATGTGCGATTCCAATTCTCTAAAAGAAAATATGATTTGAGATTTTTCAAATAAAAGAAATTGATACACATGTTTATATTTTTTTTTAAAAAAAATCTTTCTTTGCCTACTAACTATTTATTTCATATGTAAATAACATTTGTAATTCATATCATTATTTTAAAAACCATTTATATCTCACGTAACGATTATTTTTATCAATATAAAATTTATTATTACTTAGAAGTAATTCCTACTTTATCATTTATATGCATCAAATTCATTATTTTTTATTAAATTTATTTACCAACTAACTTTATTATTACCACTTCATTCAAATCAATTCTCAATAAAAAGAAATCGTAATATTGAGCGTACAAGAGTGGCCATTGTGTCATGAATTGAAACACCAATTTTCTTAGAATAAATATTATTTTTTACACAAAGATATATCATTCACGTTAATATGTCTTTTTAGTAATTCGTCATAAAAGTGATATATTTATTTGGTAGATAAATAATATATTGTTGTTAATTTTCGAAACACAAAAAGACCTTAGCTCCATACAAATGACTACACTAACATTTGCAAGATCACAGATGAAGTGAAAGAGAGTATTAGAATACCAACAAACCGTTTAATTGTAGACATTTATTTTTGCACAATGTGATTGAATGGATTTATGGAGTTTGAAAAAATAGTTTTAGAATATTGAAATAAAGTATGTAAGAACCATTATGATATTGACACACAAGTGACCGTTGTCATAACTTGTGCAGTGTTACATAATTTTTTGTGAGAATGCCAAAGAAGTGATGGAATATTTACGTTATATGAACATGATATTGAAACAACAAATGGCTCAAAGTAAAAATGCTCGTTCGTCTTCTCAATCATATGATCGAAAAACACAAATTCATTGCAAGTAGATTGTTTGTACTTGTAATGACCCGCTAGGTCATTTTGAGAACTAGGACTAGTTCGACTCCTTTTGAAAATTTAAAGGGGTATTTTAAAACTATTCGAAGACTAAGAGTATTTAGTTGATAAAAATTTTAGTGAAGAATTAATATAGTTAATAGTTAGTGGGTCATATCCATAATTCATTTAATACCTTTTTACTTGATCCATTAATTGATTTAGGTTAGTGGAATTAGTTTATTTATTTTACTTAATTAACATTAGAAGGGCAGAAAATAAAAAGGGTTACAAAATACTGCAAACGTGAGGAACAAAGCGAAGCGGAAGGTATGAAGCAACTGAAACTTTCTTGCTTTGATATGGATTATAACCAGATTTTTCTTGAATTAGTAAAGTATATATATAAATTTTGAAATGGTAGTGCGCAGGTGTAGTATTGATTTTTTCTTTTTAGAATTTTGCGGGATGAATCGATTATTTTGATTGGTTGTTACCCCCATGATGATCATAAGGAGAGGATTGACTAGGTTAATTAATTGGAATACAGCAGCAGGGAATAATGTTACTTTTCCTTCATAGGTGTTCTCGTTTAAAGATTGGTTTTAATTAATTATTATGAAAAAATGAAATTAGGATAGATATACAAGGTTTTTTGTTCTTTCCTTTTCTTATTGAGAAAATATAGTGAATGGTGGGTGACAATCATTAGGCAATCATTGCCAATCATTGTTAATTGGTAATGACATTTTAGAATTTGGCACTTTGTTTACGTAATGGATTTTAGACGACTTGCAGTGCTTTGCGCTGTTAACTGATAGAATTGTTCTTATTTTATTTATTTACCAAATTAAGATATTAATTTTGATATATGGAGATAGGTAATTAATTATTAGGTATATATTATAAGGTTTAATATTAAATTCTAGGGTATTTAAGTGATTAAGGTTAAATTCTTGGCTTGAAATTCGACAAATATGATAAATTTTGGCATATAAATTATATCAAAATTTGGGGTTGATTAGAGATATGAGTGAGTTTTAGGGTCTATGATATACTTATAATAATTTGAATGTCCACAAACTCGCTCACCTACGAATATTGCATCATTGGTAGATCGTGAGCATTCCGAAACTTTGCGAAAAGGGAAGGAACTATCTTGAAGATTTGTGGCACGAGGTTCGCCTCTTAAGGTATGTTAAGTCTTTTAGACTCGTTGAAGGACATTTTCCTAATTAAAGATTAAAAATGAAAATAGACAAAGGGGTAAGGGTGAAAGATGGGGGTCTTGTATCAATGGTGTAACGGGCATTGGTACGAGTACTGGTGTTATAAAACGGAAAGTTACTACTATAGAATGTGGATTGTAATTTGAGAACTTTTCAAAGCATATGGGCATAGGATGATATATTATTGACTTGAAATTTTGTGTGATTGTGTTTTATTATTTTTTTACACCCGTATAGTTGTGATAATGGAGGTGTTGTGTATTATGTCGATATTGATTGAGTGAGATGCATCATCATCCCCTTATTTTGAAATAATATTCTATACATGCATTCACATGAGAGTGAGTATAAGATGGGCACGTGGAGATCGTCCGTGCTGGGGATGGTAAGATGTTAAGATTGTAATTTGGGCATGTGGAGACCGTCCGTGCGGAAATTGTTGGATATTATGATGGTGCGTTGAGATCGTCCGCACAGACACGTGGAGATCGTCCGTGTCGGTATATGGACCTCGCGAGTCCCCCATGGGTCAGGAACTCTCGATGTATTTCCGAGGAGTATCATGTATATACGGTTGACTAATATTGGGTATTCTGAGACATATCATTACATGGTATCATATTGCATTGCATTTCATCCCATCATTCATTCTTGATGAATATATGTTTCGTTTGGTGTTTGGAAAATACTTAATGTTGATTTCCATTATGGATGAAACTTAAATAGTAAGCGTAATATATATATATATATATATATATATATATATATATATATATATATATATATATATATACATACATACATACTTGTGTAATTTAAGAATTTATTTTCTTATATAACTCCCGTCACTACTTCTTCGTTGTCGGTCAATGAGACATACTGGGTACACGTGGTTTCGTACTCATACTACACTTGTTGCACTCTTTGTGGTGCAGATTCGATTCCGAGTAGGAGCACATCTCGTGGAGCAAATTGAGTCCGAGCTTGGAGTTTTTTTGGAGTCGTGGTGAGCTGCTTGGCTGTTCCGTGGCCCACACCTCCCTCTATCTTTTATTTATTTTGTTATTAGTATTCAGACAGGATATCCCTTGTGTTAGATTTGTCATTTAGTTTCAGACTTGCATCGAATTTTAGAAGCTCTTGTACTTAAGACACCAAATTCTTGGGGTGATATCTTTTAGCTTCCACATTTCGTACTTATAAGGAACTCAATGTTGGAGATTCTTGCTAAGTGTTAGCCTTTTTACTCATTTGTTGGTTTAGTTGGGTTAATATGTTGGGTTGGCTTACCTATTGGTTGGGAACAAAGGTGCCATCACGACTCGTGATTTTGGGTCGTGACAGTACTATGTTAGAGAATTATATTAAAGATTAGTAGACTACAATTTATGTTCAATTTTTTTATTGAATTAAAGTCTGATCAATAAATGCTAGTATATTTCTTAGAATAGTTTTGTGATACTGTATTATGTGATTTTATAAACTTTTGCTTATTTGATCAGATTGTATAAAGAATTTGGACAATTTTAATGATTTTACAACTTATGAGATTTTTATGTTTATGAGAAGGCATACAAGATAAAAAATCTAAATAACATGTCCAAAAAAAAAACATCAACTTTATCTTATGACTTCATATTATGATTTCATATAACACGGCCAAACATGCCCTTAGATTCATCACGTGCCTCTTTGATGTGAAAATCACAACAATTATTTAACCAACGAAAGGTAACAAAATAATCTATTATAAATGTTTAAATGACACAAATCTAAATTGAGGTGTATACGTGAAATATAATACTAAGCATTGATTGTTTCTTGATGAGTTTAGCCTTAAAATTTAATTTCCCATATTATGAATAAATATATTTAGGAATCCCATCTAAAGTTCTTATTTTTCATCAAAATTAACTCATTTATGTCCCTATTTATAGTTTTTTCCTTGAATAAAAAGGTGGGGCAATGAAGTACTGTTTTCTTTAGGAAGAGTACAACATCAACTATATAATTGAATGACCCTATGCATTCCCCTTGAACAAACAACCAAAATGAGAATTAAATCACTATGCTTATGAATCCTTTTTTTTTCCTTCTATCATTGCCTTTCTTATTTTTCCTACATGCATGCTTCAACACTAGTTGTTGGGCCTTATCTAGTTAGAGTACAAGAGTAATATTTTCCTCTTTGTTGACTAAAAATTAATAATGTAATAATCTAACTATTCCATCTTTTTTTGCAAGTCATATCAGATGAAGTTATTTGGCGACAAATAATGATAATAATAATAATAATAATAATAATAATAATAATAATAATAATAATAATAATAATAATAATAAGGGAATGTATAAAATATTACACAAAAATATGTCTTCATATATATATATATGTGTGTGTGTGAATTATATACATTATTTTTTATCTACATATACAATATAATTTTCTTGCGAAAGAATTTAATCCCCTTCGTGATACATGATAAATAGGTGAATCATATACATGATACAGAAAAGTGAAGTTCTAATGTTTAGAATTGAATCAAACATTTAGAAAATTGAACAATGTTGGAAACTAGAGAATTTCTATGACGAAGATCAATATTTGAGATTTCAAATTTTATTGTTAGTCGTTAAGAAATTTAATTCATCTTTACCCAAGGGGATAATTACTTTCTGCCAATATTATAAGAATATATATTTTGTAGGGGTATTCTAAATGACTAGAGAATTTGGTCAGAAATTTAAAAAAATTATATTATCTTTTTAATTTTAAAATAAATTGATCTTTTTTTATTTTTTAATTAAAAAATATTAAAATTAAAAGGATAAATATGATTAAAAAGATAAAATAACATAGATAAAATATCATTCTGGCCAAAAAATTTTTTCCTATGTGGCAGAAGTAGTGGTACCTCAAAATTAAAAAATCACAAATTACAAACACAATCACTATAGCAAATTTTCAAGAATAAACTGCCAACAATTTTCAAAATATTTCCTAATCAAACTCTGTTGTGATTCATGATAGGCCATCACTAGATCGACCTTTGTACAAACTTTCAAAAGATTCCATATTATCAATTAAGAGAAACCAGATGATGAAGCTTGACCAAAATTCAAGTTTCTATATCAGAGTATAAATTGTATACGAGTGTATAAATATCTCTTACAATTTTATATATTGAGTGTATATTATTATGTATTATGATTTTATATATTTATATATATAAAAAGAAGAAGATAAGAGTTGTGTCTATGACTGTATGCCAGATTGTGCTTTGGGCTAAAGACTTGCAATGTAAATGTTAGGACAATATTTTTACAATATAGGTTAGGTATTTAAACTTTTATGAAATTTTTACAAAATAAATTTGGTCCAAAAGAATAGGAAAAATTAGCAAACTAGTCAAAAAACTAAACATATTTAGTGAAAAGCTCCCTATTTTAAAAATATTAGTAAAAATATCAAAAATGTCATTATTTTAAAAAATGATGTATCCTAAATCACATCCTAGTTTATTTCACATTTTAGTACAGTTTTTTTTGTGAAAAGATAAAACAAATTGCATGTCTCTCTCAATTAACTCTTTACCAAATTTAAAAAGGAATAATTTATTTTTCACTCTCTAAAATTTATCTCTTCCATTATACGGTAGGGCTGGCAAGGGGACGGGGAAGGGGACTAGGGGACGGGACGGGACGACATGAGACGGGAGATTTTTTTAAAAAATATTTATATATTTTTATTGAAATTATACGTCTTTAGCTAATAAATTTTAAATTTAATTTTTGATTTTCAAATATCAAAATAATTTTTCAAATTTAAAGTTTCAATTTTCAAATTTCAAGTTTCAACTTTAAAGTTTTAAATTTCAAATTTGAGAAGTTTAAATTTGTAATTTAAATATTTTAAAGTAATGTAAATTGTAAACTTTAAATTAAGTATTTTAAAATTAGTTTAGTACTTTAGTATATATTTAATTGTATATATTAAAATTAAAATGCAAAACAATAATTGTATAAAAAAAACTTGAACAAAAGTTAAAACCTTTAAATTTATTCAATAGAACTTAGAAGTTACAACTTACAATTAACAAATATTAGTGGAGTAACTAATCTACGCAACACTTTTTAAGAAGGGTTCTGTTTCAATAAGTTCTCATACGTAAAACTAATATTTGTTACAGATATTAGATGAGTAACTAATTTTACGCAGCCACCTTCAAGGAAGGGTTCTATTTCAATTAGTTCTCGAATGTAATCTAATAATATCTGTTTTTTCCTTTAAAATTTAATTCTAATTGTCGCATCATATCGATTGTGATATCCTCCGGTGTTGGCAAACTTGTTAGAAATTCTTGTGCCTCTAATTCATCATCACTGCATTCAATTTGTGTTTTGGTCTAACTTGCTTGTTTTATTTTACTTAACTTTGGCAAATTGTTATTCCTCCTTTCGGCATTGGACCAGTCTCTAAATAAAACTGTTGTTTCCAAACTGTCTTCCGCCAATGAATGTATATGATCACCAATTTGAAACCTTTCCGCATTGAAAGCAGCCTCCGATGCAACTGATGAAGCTTGAATAGCTAGAACATCACGAATCATTTTGTTCAAAGGTTGAAATTCATCGCTTCGCCTACTCCACCAGCCTAATAAATCTTCATTGCCATCTTTGATTTCCAATACTTCTAAAGATTGATTAAGATATTCTTCAAAATTATCACGATTAGTAGAATTAAGACCAAGAAAACCTCGCATATAACATGAAATTGGAAGTGACGAATCAATCTCAACATTAGATGTTTGACCAACTTCTCCTTGAAAATTTTCAATAGTTCTATATTTTTCATACAAAACTTTTGCTTCTACTTTTATGCTAGACTACACGCTTGACAATTTAAAATTTCTTCCGGTAAAATTTCTAACTTTTTATAAAAAGTGTCAACAAGGCCTTGCACACCTTGTAATTTATAAGCAGGATGAAGTAAAGTAGCCGTTAAAAAAGCTTGAGGAATAGGAAAAAAATATTTTTAAAATTTTTCAATCATACCTTCAATTGCAACTCTAAATTTATCTATTTTTTTATATTTACAAAATCGAATTGAAAGAGCACAAATATTTATTAATACGGATGAAATAGTAGGATAATAAATTCCCGAAAACATGGTAGTAGCATCATAAAAAAGTCTTAAAAATTGTAATCGTTCTTTAGTTTCTTCCCAATCTTCATCACAAATTCTATCTAATGGGTCAGCATTATGGCATTAAAAACCATTTGTATGGGTCTTCTATATTTATAAGCAACCGAAAGCATTTCGTAAAGAGAATTCCACCTTGTTTTAATTTGTTTTGGAATTTTTCTAGGGGACAATTAACATAGTGAACAACGCTCATTAAATTCCCTAATTCTAGCAGCATTGTTTGTATGAAAAATCCAGGTAACAACATATTCAACTTTTACGCTACTACAATCAAATAAAAATTTAATATATGTGCAACACATCTAACATGAAAAACATTATTATCAATTGGATGTAATCTAACTTTTAACATTTTAGCAGCGTTTGTATTATTAAATGCATTATCTAATGCGACAGACATTATTTTATCTATAATCATGTAATAATCTAAAACACTTAAAATATTTGAAGCTAAATATGCACCAGTTTTTTTATCTATACATAGTTTATAACTTATAATTCTTTTTTGCAAATTCTAATTATGATCAATCCAATGTGCAGTAATAGTTAAATAATTATTTCCATTAACACTACAACCCATGTCCGAAATTATAGACACTCTACTATCTAATATACTAAATAGACAACAAAGAAATTGACAATGTTTACCTTGATATTCAAAAACATCAGATTTAACAGTATTTCTTAAAAAACCTCTATAATTCGGATTATAAATTTGTTGAATATATTGAACAAAATCGGGATTTGAAGGAAAACTATAAGGCAAACCACAAACAAAAACTATTTTAGCTAAATTTTTTCGATCTAATTCCTTATTATATTTACGTTGTGTTATTGGACCAGCGGAGTTAAAAGGATCTAATG